CAAGCCAAGACAAGTAACTTTGTAAAGACTAAAGGTCAATTATAAATTATTGGAGACAGTAACACGAATGCACGTATGGCACATCATTGTAACTTCTGTAGGCTGGAAGCCATGTAGGCTGGAAGTCAATATAATAAAAATAATACATATATATAAATGTATAATGTTATGAGATTTAAGCTATTGAGACAAACATTTGTGTTTTCGTGTTATAATTTATAGTCATTCTAGAACGAAAAGAGCATAATTCAATTTTTTTCCAGTTTTTTTACTGAGGTTACCAACCCCAACAGAAATACAGTAGTGAAAATAACAAATAAAATATAAAGTTTTTTTAAAAAATAATAATTATCTGGAATTATAAAGATTTCACATGTGAAATTTGAAAATGTTCTAATGCATTAAAGTATTTTTAACCTAAAAATCAAAATTTCTTTGCATGTTGGTGTTGGTGTTTGTTAGTTTGTATTTAAACAGAAAGCTACACAATGGGCTATCTGTGCTCTGCCCACCACGGGTATCGAAACCCAGATTCTAGCGTTGTAAGTCCGCAGACAATTGCATGTTGGATAGTCAACATTCTGAAATAAAAAGGTTTATAAAAAATATTTAATTAAAATATCTTAAAAATACTAAATCAAAAACCTGATATTTTGTGTACATATATATGTATATATGTGTGTGTGTGTGTGTGTGTGTATAATATATACATCTACTAATGAGAAGTTCGTGCTTTGACAAAACAGAAAATATATATACCAACTATAAAAAAAAAGGTATACTTTTTGTTGTGAATAATTATGTGATAGCACCCAGATGATGTTGGAGATATTCAGTATCTTCGGTTATTTGCCCAAAAAACGTTAGCTTAAAATCAAGGTACTTGTAACTTTCAGTTTCTGGATAGGATACAGGTGTTTTGGTCAACACCATCTACACACTACACTGTCTACATCCAATTATGGGCATGGTTATATCATTTACCAATACCGATAAAACAGAGTTTGGATAATTTACCCCAATGAACAAAATTTGTTAAACTATTTAACATTCTTTACAATGTAAGGGTGGACTGAATGTAAAGTTATGTTGGGATTATAGTGCTTAAGATCTTATAATATGGGTGGAGGCTGGTGTTTTCGTTATGATTATATGTTTGGGGTACTATAATTACTTGAATTAAAGGGTGTATGTAGGATCATAGTAACTGACAACACCACCAAGGCACAACAGAGTCAAGGAACCAAGGCTTCCTTCATTTCCAAGTAAAACCAATAAATTTCATGTACGAGGACGCTGTGTAAATTGAGATAATAATGTATTCGTTTTACTGCAGGTGCTGTGGGGCCAGCTTCAGCTGGAAAATGTTCCATTTCACTATCACATGATCACATTTACCAGGGGTTTAGCGAGTTGTTTATTTTTGTTTACCAGTGACAGCCTTTGCAAGCTGGCATGTATGATACATGTAACTGTGTGTTCACGAACTCGTAACTCTACATATTCTTCTGCTCAAACTAAAACTATATCATACTGAGGTCCACATTTTGATTCATTAGTGTATCTTTTATTATTTCCTTTGGCTTTCCTATAGGTTTAGAACATAAGGAAAGGAGATCGAGAGACAGGAACAGAATAATTATGCTCCAGACTGTGTCTTATTGTATCGCTAGGAAGCCAAAGTTAAATTTATTGTATTCATCTGTCAAACTGACACAGCAGTATTTTGTTGATGTACGTTGTATGGTAGAGGCCAGTAATTTACAATATGTGAGATTAATGGTTTAGTTTTAATTTCACGCAAAGCTACACGAGGGCTATTTGCGCTAGCCGTCCCTAATTTAGCAGTGAAAGACTAGAGGGAAGGCTAGTCATCACCACTCACCGCCAACTCTT